GGCGGGGCGGGCCAGCAGCACGGGGGGCCGCGGCGGCACTTCTGTCCGGCCAGGCAGGACCAGGCAGGACGCGCGGAGCCCCTACGGCTCAACCAACCGATAGTCGGAAACTTTTGCAACGTGGGTGGAGCTGATTTATCCGTCCGGATGAGGGGAAAGTGGAGAGGGGGGGCGGGGGGCAGTGCGCGGCCTGGCTACAGGGGACGCGCACTGATTTGTAGGACTCTGCAGCAGGGCTAAGGGCACGGCATGCAGGGTGGGCTGCTCTCTCCCTCAGTCTCTCTCTCCCTCTCTCTCCCTCTCGCTCGCTCACTATCTCACTCCACCGCCGCCCCCTCTACCCCACGTCCCCACTCACAGCCCGCGGACTCGATCCGTTCGTCTATAAATCTGCGGCTTGGTCCCGGCCACGCGTGCAGCTGTCCGGCGCGGGCGGGCGTGGCGGGGCGTGGCGCGAGTGGATGACTGCTAGCGCCCCGCGGAGTCATAGGGGCTTACGGGTGGCGCCTAACGACTGCGCGGGTGGTCTTTGGGGAAACTATACTATTGCTCTACCACAGTGCGACTGCCGCGATATCGGCCCCACCCCGCCCCGCCCCGCGGCCGTGACGCTGCAGCGGCGGCCGCAAGCAGTCGTAATGGTCATTCCCTCCCGGGCGGAAGGCCGCCGCCCCGGCGCCCGACAGCTCGGCCCGGCCCGACCAGCTCTGCACAGCTGCAATAATTAATTGGGTGGTCTGCAAGTTTCCGGCCAAGCTAACACTTGCCCTGGGAAACTCTCTTCTCCTCGCTGCCGGTCCGGCGGGGGGCGGGGTGCGGCGGGGTGGGGCGGGGCGGCTGCCTTCTTCCCTTCCATCGATAACCGCTAGCACCGCAATCAGTTGAATTTGCCATTTCCCCGCCCCCTGCTGCTGCTCCCTTTCCTCCTCCTCCATCTCCTCCTCCTCTTGCTGCTGCCGATGCTCCTGCTGCTACTGACCTTGGCTGCTGGAGAGCGCCGCCCTGGTGCCGCCCCGCTCTCCCGGCTCCCACCACACCGCCCCGCCAGATAGGCCCAGGCTGGCCCATTGTCCGGGCTGATAAGAATCGCGCCTTCTATCCGTGTGACTGTTTGACGGGCGGGGTGACTCCTTCCAAGAGCGCCTCAAGGAGTTGCTCCGCCTCGTCGCCGACAAGCAGGCGGCGCCGGTGGCGGCGGCCGGCTCAACGAACGACCAAACACTGGCCGTATGGAGGCGTGCGAAACGACTATAGTCGGCTGCGGCAGCGAGTCATCGCCATGCAGCCTCTGTTCTGTTGATAGCAAACACTAAACGTAAAACGACAATTTCGTTGTAGGGTACTTCAGCACATCATTTGCTTTTTTGTTTTGCTGGGTAGAATCTAGCAACCTTTTTTGACACACTGTACCTATTGTTTTCAGAGTGACAAAGGTACAATTATTACATCGCCCTATGAGCAGTAGGGCCCTCTTACACTTTTTATTTTATGATAACTGGCAATTTGCTGGAGAGTAACGTCACTCTTTGAGGGGACAAATTTGAACCAGCAGAGGTAACAACTTAATATTTACGCCCATCTCCTCAAAAAAGGCACTCCTGATTTTATAACATTCTTCTTGTTATATTATTTTGTTGAGTGCATCGCGATTGCGTGGAGAGCAAGCGCAGTTCACTCAATAAAATCAAGAACAGAACACAACAAGTATTAATATCAAGAACACACTTTTGGGGGTGTAGTGTAGAAGAGGGCACGATACCCAACGCTAATTATGGTACGTATCTATAACCTGATTCGCAATGGCACACAGCTGCTCAAGGAACTTAGCCTTAAAGGGCCAACTTTAGGCAAATGGTTCCCGAAGTAGCCACACGTAGCCGACCTACCTCAAACCGCTGCGGCGCGGTGGACCGGCTCCGGCGGGAGACCAGCCGGGCCGGGCGCCCTCAAGGGCATGTGCACCGCAGCGCCCGTCGCGCCGTGGTCCGGCCCCAGCCCGCCGGGTCCAGCGCCGCGGGTCCTGCAAGGAGGCTGGGCGCGGCCGGCCAGGCCCGCTCCTCTCCTCTCCGCGTCCTCCAAACTGGTCACGGAGAGGTCTGCAGGGACCGGCGGGGGGGCCGGCGGGGCCCGCGGGGAGGAGGGGGAGGGGGAGGGGCGTGGGCGGACTTCGGAATGCGGCGCGTGGCTCGGGCGCGGGGCATATCGCACGGGACGGGGTACGGCCCTGGCACTGACCTGGGCCTCATGCAGGACGCCGCGGTCCATCACAGGGGAGGGGAGGAGAGGGCGGCGGGGGGCTCGCCGGGGCGCGCCGGGTCGTGCCGGATGCTGGACAGATGATGATGGCCCGAGCCACGCGAGCGTCAGCGCCACAGACCACGTGACACGGCGGGGCACAGCGGGGTGCAGTGTGCACTAGGCGGGGCGGCGGGGGAGAATGTTAGCATTGCAGATGCAAGATCGTAAGAAGATAAATTTTAGTTCGCAGAAACTTCTCGTGTGTGTCTTTAGGAAAAATCTTTACAGCAAAATAAAAATAGCTGACACAAAAACAACGCCAACAAAAAGTTGATTTTAATAAAAAAACATTTCAATTGTTTCATAAAATGATACAAACTTGACCTGTCCAGTTCCAGCTTGGGGTACCCCAAGGTTTCAGCTAGAACTTCGTCGTCCTGTGCACGTGCACCAATCTGTACATCGTGTTGGGCTATTTGTTTGTCCGGTCTATTTACACCTGCGCTCTGGTCTTCTGGTTTACAGGCGGCTCGAGTCCGATGGGCGACTGAGGCCGGTGTCTGAGGCCCCACGGCCCTGGGCTCCGCGCCCCGCTCCGCGCCCCGCTCCGCGCCCCCGGGCCCCTGCAGGGGCGTGCGCCCAGCAGCCACGAGACGAAGGCGTCTGCGCCAGCCGAGGCCCGCTGCCCAGGGCGCGCAGGGCCTCCAGGGGGGCGCGGGGGACGCAGGCCCGCACGGCCTCGCCCCCGGCGCCCCCGCGCCTACCGCAGTGCCATCGGCGGCGTCACTAGCGCCGGTGAGTACTTAACCCCGATCACCTGTTTATATTATTTCCCATCGCGAACACTTATTGTTTTTCCGTGCTGCCGGTCTGGTTTGAGTGGATCGGAGGGATTAACCTTGGGTCGCCGGGGCCGCGGCCGGGAGTGAGTCCAACGCTGTCCGACCGGGAGAGCCGCTGAGCTGAGCGGGGCTGAGCGGGGCTCAGTCCGACAGGGGAGAGAAAGAAGGAGTCCGCGTTATAAAGAAGTCTGTTTTTGAATGGCTGGCCGGATTGGTATGGCTGTGTTTGCTGCTCGGGCAGAACTGCTTTTTGAGCGACTCACCTCACATTTCATAGTAGTCGGCGGTCTACTGCGCGCTACTTGGCCGCGGTCCGGCGTGGCGGGGCGTGGCGGGGCGTGGCGGAGCGTGGTGGGGCGGGGCGTGGTGGGGCGTGGAGCGGCGAGGCGGCGCGTGGCGGGGTGCGTGGTGGGTGTGCTGCCTCCTAATGTAGCGGTTGCGTGGTCTGGGTCGCTTCGCTCTCTCTGACAGACGTGAGAGGAGGGAAATGCGCGCAGGGAATTCGCCAATAACCGAGGTAACGCGTAACACAACGCACTTAACTTCGGCTCCATGAAATTCGCGGAAAACCCTTAATGAAATTTTCTCCGAGAGCACCCCCCCCTCTCCTCACCGCACCTCTTCCCCGGGCTGGAGAAGGATCTTCATCATCGCCTCGTTGCCAACTTGCCATCCATCAGCCCCCCCCCCCTCTCGGCCTGCACCCGTCTCTGCCTGCTCTGCCTCTCTTCACAGAGAATTCCACGTCTACATTTTCCGCTCCATCAACTTTGCATCCGCCTTTCATTAGTTTCTGCTCCTCACCTTTTTCATTGGTTAAGGCTGCGGCCCGGACGC